ATGTCAGTTAGCACTGCATTGTTCATATACTTTATTTATTACCTGGAGATGACGTGACAAACACAAATAAACCATATTGTCGCAATCGTATGTTTAATGTCTTCATGTTTCCAAACGTTTCTGTTTTTCTGAAAACAACTGTTTTCATACAGCCGTAGCTGGACGCTTTTGTCCATATTAGGGATCTCCTCGTACGACTTTCTGCACGAGAGCGCCTCCGGCTTCGAGTATGAATGTAACACAGACTGCATGAGTGTTTAGCACTCCGTGATGTTCATCTCGCCTTATTCTGGGTCCGAATAAAACATCAGATCATGCACAGACTATCCTGTCTCTTTGAATTTAAATCTATATTTATTCACACCGGCGCTTGAAAACCTCTATGTGAACACACTTGCCCCGAAAAAGTGCACGGGACGAATTTACGTGATATTAAAAGTGGGGGGGACACGTCCCCCGCGTAATCTACGCCCCTGTCTAGAAATGTCCTGTGGTGTTTTTGAGGAAGCTTTTCTAGTGAACGTTTGGAAGTGTGCACCTTTTTAATTTAGTTTTGTAATAATGCAAGTAAACTTGTAAGTATGCGCTCACAATGTCATTGTATAAAGCCCTATGATTTCATAAAGTCATAAAAATGGAATTTATAGTCTAATGTCACAGAATATAGTATATTTTGTATTAATAAATCAAAAGTAGGTCTGTACAATTAATCAAATTGGGATATGGACTAGTCTGTGATGATGATAATAATAATAATAAAATTATTAAAACTTTATTTTTTAAGGAATATCGTACAGTTTTTTTCCCCCTGTGTCTTCCATGTTGTGCAGCAATTTATTAGCAAAAATAAATCATATGGTTACATTTTTTTAATGATTTAATTGTTAAGGTTTTTGATAATACATTTCTATTCATCATAAATCCAGAAAAAAATAAAAGACAACACATAATTTCTAAAAAAAAAAAAAAAGTTTATAAATTATTAAATTGTTAAAGTTTCATGAGCATGCATTTTGATTATTAAACTGTAATTAAACTATTAAAATGGAAAACACAGAATCCATAAAATTAGAACTGGGAAAAAAATGGGGCAAAAAATAAAACTATGTTTTCAGCCTAAGAAATGTGTGCGTGTCTCCATCTTTCAGGACGACCCAGACGCAGAGGATGATACGATACTTCAAGAGGTGAGGACATTTTAACACAGACGCGCACACTCACACACTCACTCACTCACTCACTCACTCACTCACTCTCACACAAACACAAACACACACACACACTCACTCACTCACTCACTCTCACACACACACACTCACACACACACACACACACACTCATTCACACACACACACACACTCATTCACACACACACACACACTCACTCACACACACACACACACACACACACACTCACTCTCTCACACACACACATCTACAGTATCTCTGGCTGTGAGTGCAGATCGAGGAGTGGGAGGAGCAACAGCTTGACGAGCAGGTGAACTTCAACAACTGCAAGATTGACCCCGCCCCCTTCCAGCTGGTGGAGCGCACTTCACTGCACAAGGTGAGTGTGTGTGTGTGTGTGTGTGTGTTTAGCTTTAGTCTGTGGACAAAATAGTGACGTCATTATCATGATGATTTCTGAACGAGACGAGTTTCTGGAGTTAATTTCAGTAAATGTGTTGTTAATAGTACAGTATGTCACATGAAACATTATTTGAGAAGAGGAAGAAACATGTTCCCATTTAACATCTGTATTGTTTCCTCTCCGACAGACTCACACCATGTTTTCTGTGTTGAATCTGGATCACGCTTACGTCACCAGCATCGGACGACTTGTCGGAGTCGTTTCACTGAGAGAGGTGAGAGTTCATCAATCACACAACAATTACATCCAAGAGCTCCTTTATTGATATCATGTTCAACCTTGAACATCATTAGAAACTTTCCATTGCACAAACGTTTCTTTGTAGCAGAAAAAAGTTCTTAAGATTATTAAAAGGTTCATCACAGTAAGAAAATATTGGTATAACAGCTGTGCTGTGCTGTACTATTAAGCTGGTCTTTAATAGTTTAAAAGCTAGTTCTAGTTCATTTGTAGTGTATTTTCTAAGATTGTAAACATTCTGTGAGATAAATATGTATTTTAAGGATCAGTCAATTCCATTTTATGCTAAATTAGGGCATTTTAATGTACACTACTGTAATAAATTAATGCTTTTATTAATCAAGGTCTCATTAAAGAAGACATTTATAATGTTACAGCAGATTTCTATTTCAAATAAATGCTGTTCTTTCGAACTTTCTATTAATCTGTGAATCCTGAACAATAAAATGTATCACAGTTTCCACAAAAATATGAATTGTTTTCAACATTGATAATAATCAGAAATGTTTCTTGAGCAGCAGATCAGCATATTATACTGATTTCTGAAGATCATGTGACACTGAAGACTGGAGGAATGATGCTGAAAATACAGCTGCGCGTCACAGAAATACATTACAGTTTAACAGAGATTCACACAGAAAACAGCTGTTTTACATTCTAATAATATTATACTGTTTTTACTGTATTTTTGATCAAATAAATGCAGCACTGGTGAGCAGCAGAGACATCTTTTAAAAAGGCCAAATGATATGAACAAACAAAAATATAAGCAAACTGTCCATTACTGGCTCTGGTGTGTGTTGTAGTTGTGTAAAGCCATTGAAGGCTCCCTGCCGGCGGACGGCGTAGGCTTGCGTCCTGTTCTGGCCACTTTCAGAGACCGAGGCGTCCGAGGATCCAGGACCGAGACCACCGAACTCCACAGACTACTGGAGCATCAGATCAGCTAAAACACCAGCGAGCGGCGATGTTACAGCTGAGCCAGGAGCCAAACGCACAAACAGAGACACTTTCTGCTCTGGGTCTGTTTTTATTGGTGGATTCATGAGATCCGCCCGCGTTCAAGTCTTTCTGTCCTCATGTGTTTGTGAAATGTGTGTGTGTGTGTGTGTGTGTGTTTGTTACAGAAATGTAACATTTTTTTTAATATTCATAATATGAAATATAATTTGAATGCAATGGCCATCAAACGCCGCTCTTTTAGTTACTTGCATTTTTTATTTAATGTTATTTTCATTTTAAGCCAAACCACTCGAAGCAAAACAGCAGCATTAGAGCATCTGTCCATCTGATTCATTTAGGTTATGTTAATATGTAACGATGTGCACTTTTAGTTTAACTGTTTTTTTATTATTATTGATGTTTTCAACAAGGGAACAAAAAATACCTTTTCTGAATAACATTTCTGACTAATGAATTTTTTAAAACTGTAGTTGCACAGCAATGCATTTAATTGCAACATGACTGAATAAAGAAAAACAGACAGAGAAAATTAAATTATAACAGTATCATCAATAAATACAATTGAAATTGTGTTGAATAAATAAATAAACAGTATAATAGTTTTACTTATTGGGGAAAATGCACTTTTTATTGTTTCTTGATTATAAATCAAGAAAATAAAAATGCTGTTATTTAGATTAATAAAAACATGTGCACTTTTTATGGGTTTCTTGATAAAAAATCAAGAACATTGAAATTCTGTTAAATAAATAAAATATAATAATTGCACCAATATTGGTGAAAAATGTACACTTTTCATTGGTTATTTGATCATAAATAAAGAAAATTAAAATGCCTGTTCAATAAATAAATATAATAATTACAGTAATATTGGCAGGAAGTTGCTCTTTTTATTGGATTCTTGATCATAAATCAATCAATTTGAAATGCTATTAAATAAAGTATAATATTTACAATAATATTGGGGGGTTTATGCACTTTTTATTGGTTTCTTGATTTATAAATCAAGAAATTGAAATGCTATTCTAAAATATATAATTACAACAATACTGAATTGTTTTTTTCACTTTTTATAGTTTTTGTCAACACGTCCTGTTATTCAGACGTAAGAAACAAAAGCTGAGAGTTTTTCTGAAGAGGTTTATTTGTGCTGTTTATATATTACATCATGCATATGTTTGTATTGAATGTACAGTATAATTGTTTGCTTTTTAATTACTCTGAGCCCTGATATGTTACATTTTGGTAAATCAATGCATGTTTTTACCCCATTATTTTCCAAAGAAGTGCAGAAACTCTATACACACGTGTTCCTGATGTGTCATTGTGTTTGCAGACACAAAAAGTCAATAAAACAAAAAAGTGGAATCTGTGAACGTCATAACATTTTACTTTGCAACTTTTCTTTTTGTTGTGTGTGTGTGTCTGTCTGTGTCTGTGTCTGTGTCTGTGTGTGTGTGTGTGTGTGTGTGTGTGTTCCTGTTGTGCATCTGCACTCCATTAATATGATGTGCTGGCATTTTTGGAAGGACAACGGCTGAATGTGACTGATCAAAATCCTGGCTTCTGATTGGTTGAGTTCTCATCGTCAGCGAGACATGACTGTGTTTGGATGAGGGATGTTTCTCCCAAAATACCATTGATTCTTTGAAATAGTCAAGCTGGTGCTGAGAAAATTTATAGTTAAGGCTTTAAAATTACGATGAAAATCGCAATTGCAATTACCAGTATCGAACATTGTAGTTTCAGCTCCATTCAGACAGATTATATCGCATGATCTTAAAATGACCTTTGACCTTCAGTCACAGCTTATTCTGTACTAAAGGTCAGGAAGTGACAACAAGGGTCAAAGTTCAGCCAGATTAACAAACTACTCGAATACGAGAAGGGACGATGTGTCAGGTGTCGAAGTAAGTGACTGCAAACAAATCAGAAAACAACACAGCTTTTCACAATACTTCCAACTGTTTAGGATGCCATTTGTCTCAGTAATGAAGCGTGGCTTCAGAATATGAGAAATGATCATGAGAAAGTATCAGCTAAATTATAAAATTATAAAAAGTATCAGCCGGATTTAATATGACAGAATGGACTGAACCTTTGGTTTGAAATGTGCATCATTTGTTGAAAATATTGATTAATTTATCATTATCATTTACTGTGGTATTTAATGTGAACATTGCGTCCTCTATTGGACATAAACAGCTTTGCATGAGATTTCTCTCTGAGGTCCTTGGTTTTTGTGAGCTGGTGTGCAGCTGCAGTGTCAGTATTTGTCCTGATGAGGGCGCCATTGTTCCACTGAGGAAATCTGACAGCTGAATGAAATGAAAGAGCTGAGCGACTCACACACACACACACAAACTCACACACACACAAACTCACACACACTCTTCCTGTAGCAGATGTGATGTCAGCAGGAGATCCGTGCAGTGACAGAGGTCACCATGGTTACAGGTTGCTCACGGAAGCTCTCACCAGGTGGATGGATGGATAGCTGGTTTGTTGTTGTCATGGCAACAGCGGAGCACTAAATAGATTAAATTGTCACTGTGACATCATCACTACAGCAATGGCTCAGCTCAACATGTCACCATGACAACCGCAGAGACGAGTCAACTAGTTATTTCAGCAGGCCTCTCTTTCCTCTTTATTAAGCCGCTTCATTTGCTCTCTACATGTTTGTTCATCTGACTGTCAGACTTCAGTTTAGAGCAGAGTATTTGTGAGAAGTGTGTGCGTCTGTGTGTGTATGTGTGTGTGTGTGTGTGTGTGTGTGTGTGTGTGTGTGTGTGTGTGTGTGTGTGTGCGTGTGTGTGTGTGTCTGTGTATGTGTGTGTGTGTGTGTAAGAGCGAGTTTGTGTGTGTTTGTGTGTGTGTTTATGTGTGTGTGCGTCAGTGTGTGTTGCGTCAGTGTGTGTTTGTGTGTGAGCGTGCGTGTGTGTGTAAGAGCGAGTTTGTGTGTGTGTGTGTGTGTGTTTATGTGTGTGTGCGTCAGTGTGTGTTTGTGTGTGAGCATGCGTGTGTGTGCGTGCGTGTGTGTGTGCATCTGTGTGTGTGTGTGTGAGAGAGCGAGTTTGTGTGTGTGTGTGTGTGTGTTTATGTGTGTGTGCGTCAGTGTGTGTTTGTGTGTGAGCATGCGTGTGTGTGCGTGCGTGTGTGTGTGCATCTGTGTGTGTGTGTGTGTGCATCTGTGTGTGTGTGTGTGTGTGTGTGAGAGCGAGTTTGTGTGTGTGAGTGTGTGTGTGTGTGCGCGCGTCAGTGTGTGTTCGTGTGTTTGTGTGTGTGTTAATAACAAGCTAATCTGTTCTCTAATCTCTAGATGTGTCTCTTGCCAGCTCTCTCTCTTATCTTTTGGCACATTTTCTCTCCACAAACACACTTTTCCTCAGACTGTCTGTCTGTGGTTCGTTCTCAGGGTTTCCATATGCCCTGGAATCATCACCGCCTGACTTTTTTTTCTGGTAAAAATACAATCTAAATGCATCCATTTAAACCAATAAATAATCATTTGTTGTTCCCCCCCCCCCCCTACTCTTATTTATTTATTTATTTATTTATTTATCCTATAAAGTATTGGGAAATACATGAACAATTTTGAGGAGTAGTGAAATAAAAAGTACTATAATAATAACTGAATAAGAACGATTATAACTACATTTATCAGTAGCATGACCCATTTTAAATAGTGTCGTTTTTCCATTAGAAAGATACATATAGTGCTTTATCATAACAAACACAATAATTAAGTGCTCCGATTCAACAATTTGAGTTATTCAAATGTCAAATTTTTCAAGTTATTGTTCAATAATTTTTCATTAATTTTGACGTTGATGTCTAATTAAACAATGCTGTTTAACATCCTTAAGATATGAATCTGTGATTTAATGTCTTTAAATTATGAACAGCTTGACTGTAATTAAACTATGTTAAAAGTATTTAACAGTTTCCTCACCTGCACTGAACACTGAAAAATTGTTTGTAAATTTCACAAATAATATCAAAGAAGCGGCAGCACACTGAATTACATTTTGAAGTAAAAATACTGAAATTGTATTTCCTTGTAAAACACACTCCAATAATCTGACAAGATTGAAAAATAATTTTCACTCTATGTCTTGTTGTCTTAATGAAAATCTAGGGGAATAAAGAGTAAATCGATAATGCTCCAAACAGTTTAATTAATTAAACACAAGTGTTTCATCAAAAGTCAAACGAGTTTGTAAATTTCCACACACTGATATTAATTCTTCCGTTGCACCTGTACGTATATATATTCGCATATATTTGTAATTGTTCCTCCTTTTTTGTAAGTAGCTTTGTAAAATAGTAAATAGTACATATCACATCCCAAAAGTTTCTGTAAGAAACACACATTTGGCTCTTGGCTGCTCATAAATGAATCCGGATCGGCTAACCGTAGGTCATTTTAGTTCTTTGAACAGAAAGCGAGAGGTTAAATGAAGAAGTGAGAGAGAGAGAAATGCAAGCAAATGACTTTGTTTTGATGGAGTGGGGTGATAAAACAGAAACCAGCAGTGATACACACACACACACACACACGCACACACACACACACACACGCACACACACACACACACACGCACACACACACACACACACGCACACACACACACACACACGCACACACACACACACACACGCACACACACACACACACACGCACACACACACACACACACGCACACACACACACACACACACACACACACACACTCTCTCTCTTACATAAACACTTCACCCTCATTACATCTGCATAAACAAGACATTTACAAGTTCCGCTTCTCACACGAGCCTCAGCAATTAGGTAAAATAAGTTTAAGTACTAAAATAAAAAAAGCTAAATAAATAAATTACATTACATTGCATTCAAAAATCTAATAAAAAAAAAAAAGACAAAAAATTCAAAACAAAATTACTAAAGCTTTAAGTAAAGTAAAGTGAAAAAAAAAACATTTATAAATAAAAATAAACTTAAACTAAATGAAAATGAAAAATCTTGCCTGGC